CTAGATTCCCAGTGCTCTCCCACCCCCACCAGTAAGGGAACACTCTCGTATATACACGGGTCCTTCATGGGGGACCCATCCATCTGCATGAAAATTATGGGGTCTTTCAACTTAACCACCCCCACCTCCAGCCCAGCAACTACCGAGGGGCTTATCAAGTCTCTCCCGCACCCTGAGTCCACAAGAGCCTTCGCTCTAACGTGAGTTCCAAAGGCCGGGTTTTAAATGGACACAGTCACAAAGAAGAGGGAGGGGGTTCGCTCACCACTTTTGGCGCCTCGCTGGGAGGGTCCTGCCGCTCTGCGCCGTCTACGGCAGGACCGAGTCGTTTCCCGCCGGCTCCGTTTCCTCGCCGCTCGATTCACCTTCGTCCTCCTCTGGAGACGCTCGCAAAGCCTTGGCGAACTTCGGTTTCCCTGTAGGTTTCTTCAGCGGGGTGGTGGGGCGGCTTTTCCCCATATCAGCTTTCTCCTTACGTACAGGTTGCTTGCAGTCAGCGGCGAAGTGGCCCCTCTCCCCGCATTTTAGACACAAGCCCTGGTGCATCCGTTGCTCTCTTAGGACGTCCGGTTGTCGCGGCGGTTTGGGTTTCAATGGGGAGGGGGTTGCTCTACCCCCTGCTGCGGCAATGTCAAGCCTCAATGTTTGCAAACGATTCTCCGCACTCTCGGCTTCTTGCATCCAGGCCATCAGAGAAATCCAGTCTACGGACCTCAGTACCATCTCTCTGATCTTCGCGTTCAGGCCTACTCGGTACATTTCTGCGAGAACGTTATCTGGCCAGTTGGGCAACTTAGCTGCGTGCAGTTTAAACTTGGCTGAGTACTCACGGACCGTTCTCCTCCCCTGCTTCAGGGTGCGCAAGTACGCTCGCGCCCTTGGGCCCGCATTACGGTCCTCGAATTGGGCTCTCAGTGCCCACATGAACATGTCAGTCAGTTCAGGGCCCCTGGCATTATGAAGTCCCACGTACCAGGCGGCTGCAGCTCCTTGGAGTCTTGCGGCCACCACGTCGATACGGCCACTGTCATCTGGGAACAAGTGGCCCAAACAAGCTATAAATTTTTGCACATGCACCACGAAATAGGCGAGCTCCTCCGGGTTGCCGTCAAATGTCACCTCAATCAGGTCCTTTCGGCGAGGAGTCGCTTGGCCCCGGGGACTGCCTGGTCTGGGTGCCGGGATGGATACGTCTGGTTGTCTCGGAGCTGGAACTGGGACCGGTTGTTGAGGTTGCTGTGGTAACCCCGGTTGGCCGGGTGGCCCTTGTTGTCCTGGCCCCACAGGTCCCAGCGGCTGCTGGTCCCCGGGCGCCCCATCTTCCGGTCGCCTTCGCTCGAGCGCTTCTTTGATGGTTTGCGTGACTAATTCCGGGATGGCTTGCAGCATTTCTTCCAATGTTTGCTGTAGTCGTCTCACCGTTTGATCTGCCGTCTCGATCCGGTCCATCAACCCCTCTTCCGGGGAGGCTCAGCCACTCCTGGCCTTTGATCGGTTCGTCACCCACGACGGTGGCGCGGGTTCAAACTGGGCTCCCAGGGGAGGTAGTCCCTGCGCCCCCAGCCCTTTGTCATACAAACTGTCTCTCAGGGCATATCCCATGTGCAAATACGATTCCCTGGTGGTATCCGCATCGAATTGGCTCCAGCTTTGACTGGAGCGATCATCATGCCGGTATCTCGGGCCTCGCAGAGTCAGGAACAGGGACGCCGTCGACCACTTAGGGATGCCCCCCCACTCGATACGGTAACCGGTGGCTGTGTGGTCACAGGCACCGACGCCGTGGTCACCGGGGCATCTCCTCCCGTGTCTGGGTCCTCACGTTCCTTCTCATCAGGCTTGAGTGGTTTCCCCTCTCCGTCACTCATATCGATATCGATAGATTTGCTGAGATAGGGAAGGATGGATTCTGAACAGAATGTCAGACTCCTCACAGCATCATAATGAAGTACACGCTTGTAGAAAAGATTTACTTTATTTGAAACTTAAGGTGCATAACAGGATCACTGTTCAGAATGAGGGGGGACTCAAACGGTCAAGCATGTTATAGTACAATCAAACTACTGAGGCCCAATTGCGGGGTTTCCTGCGCGCACCTTTGGGCTTGAGAACTAACGTTCCTAGGCAGCACATGTTATCTTATTCTCACGGCGTTTCATGAGAGCTTCCTTGCACTAACAAGCACTTGCAACCACCTGTGGCCTTGGGAGATATAATTGTTTCGGCGAGCTACATAGACACGTGCATCTACGGTTCTACAGTTAAAAGCGAAAGCAACCAAGCGCATACAGAAATACAAAACATAATATTGGCAGCTTGCTGACAGATATTAGCAAGTAAAGCAGTGATTGCTCTGGGCTGGAAGGACAAGAGTAAATGGACAGTAGAAATCTGGCATAATTGTTTGTTTGATTTTATATAGTCGGACATAATCACGAAGCTGAGTTGGAAGACCATATGGGCAGAAAAGACCACAGAAATCAGAATGAAATGGAAGACCTACCTAGAATGGATACTAACAGAAGGAAGAAAAGACATTCAGTGCAAGATTCGGACTTTGTGCCCGTGGCTGGGATTAAAGGACTAGTGAACTGGAATAGCAAGGGAAGGGCGGGGGGAGGGATTTTTTTATAAAGTGATATGTAATGAGGCGACAAAAGTGAACATGTAATACACATAAAATGTTACATAAAAATAAAGATTTTTAAAAAAGGAAAAAAAGGAGGTTGTCAGCCGCTCTGAGACACCTTTGGGTGGTGAAGGGCAGGGTATAAACCCAATCTCTTCTTCTTCTTCTTCGACCTCACAGGGTGTCTGTTCTGGGGAGGGGAAGGGAAAGGAGGTTGTCAGCCGCTCTGAGACACCTTTGGGTGGTGAAGGGCAGGGTATAAACCCAATCTCTTCTTCTTCTTCTTCGACCTCACAGGGTGTCTGTTCTGGGGAGGGGAAGGGAAAGGAGGTTGTCAGCCGCTCTGAGACACCTTTGGGTGGTGAAGGGCAGGGTATAAACCCAATCTCTTCTTCTTCTTCTTCGACCTCACAGGGTGTCTGTTCTGGGGAGGGGAAGGGAAAGGAGGTTGTCAACCTCTCTGAGACACCTTTGGGTATTGAGGGACGGGGTATAAACCCAATCTCTTCTTCTTCTTCTACCTCACAGGGTGTCGGTTGTGGGGAGGGGAAGGGAAAGGCGGTTGTAAGCCACTCTGAGACACCTTTGGGTGGTGAAGGGCAGGGTATAAACCCAATCTCTTCTTCTTCTTCTACCTCACAGGGTGTCGGTTGTGGGGAGGGGAAGGGAAAGGCGGTTGTAAGCCACTCTGAGACACCTTTGGGTGGTGAAGGGCAGGGTATAAACCCAATCTCTTCTTCTTCTTCTACCTCACAGGGTGTCGGTTGTGGGGAGGGGAAGGGAAAGGCGGTTGTAAGCCACTCTGAGACACCTTTGGGTGGTGAAGGGCAGGGTATAAACCCAATCTCTTCTTCTTCTTCTACCTCACAGGGTGTCGGTTGTGGGGAGGGGAAGGGAAAGGCGGTTGTAAGCCACTCTGAGACACCTTTGGGTGGTGAAGGGCAGGGTATAAACCCAATCTCTTCTTCTTCTTCTACCTCACAGGGTGTCGGTTGTGGGGAGGGGAAGGGAAAAGAGTCTGTAAGCCGCTCTGAGACTCTTCTTCTTCTTCTTCTCTTGGGAGATAAGTGGGCAGTGGAAAAACAAGCAGATGAATGCCAGGTAGTCGGTGACAGGCAGGCCACCCTAACTGGAGGATACAGCAGCCTGAAGATTCTAGTTGGCCTGAAGATTATATAGGAGGAGATGATCCTTCAGAAAAGCAGGACCCAAGCCATGAAGGCCTTTAAAAAGCATGACCAGCGCCTTGAACTGAGCTTTTTGACCTTGTTCATGGCCACGTTTATTGTGGCTCTTTTGGAGGTCAGGGCCATAAGAACTTCCTGTAAGGCCTTCCCTTTTTCCTTGCGCTGTTCTCCCTCCTCAATGAACACTTGAGAAATACAAACCTGCAGGATCCATATAGGCTGCCTTTCTCAGAAAGAAACCAGGTGGAGCATGGCCAACATGGCAGCATGGCTGGGGAGGAAGAGTGTGCCTAGTCCCAGCAGGCCCCACTGCTCAAACTGACAGACAGGCTTCTCCATCCTACCCCCCAGGAAAGTGATTTCACCTGCAGAGAAGGAGCAATCTCAGCTGAATGGGAGGGGAGAGCTCTTGGATGGTGGGGATGGCAGAGGCTGCCTCACAACCTCAAGGCCACCACGGGAATTGCTGCACCACCACCAACTGCTCTGCCACCATTGCTTACTTGTTGACTTCTTTGCTGCCACCACCCTCATTCCTCCAATGCCCAGATTAAAGCCACTCTGTCCAGCTGATGACTCCAGCCCCCGCAGCAGTTCAATAAATGTGAGGGGGAGGAGTGAAAACTCTGGCTTCCAGGTCTACCTGGGAGCTCTACTCCACCTAGCAAACTTGGACACCTCATTGGCTGTTGGCTGCTGGTGGTGCAGCTGGGGTCAAACACCATAGCGCCCCATGTGGCCATGGAGGTGGAAGAGGTACCTACCCCCTTCAATGGCTTCCCAGCTTCTCAGCAAATGAGGCCCTGGGTTAGCCCTGGGGGCTGCTGCTTCATGGCCACATTTGTTGTAGAAGCCCTGGTTGCTCCAGAGATGTCTCAAAATATTTCTTTAGCACAGCCTCTCTGCACTTATTGCATGAGTCCCTAGCCAGGCTGTCAACAGCCTTCAAAAATCAAAAAGAACTTACTAACACGTCCAGCCAAGGGTGTTTTCAACATATCCATGGGGTGATGGTGTAACACTTCAAAGCTAGTCTGTGCACAAATCAACTACGTGGATCAGGGTAACCCATTTTGAGCCTTTGCTTGGAATGTAACGTCCAATCCTGCGATCCACACACTATACCACATTGCTGGATTCTTTCCCCATTTTAGCAACAATTATCATCAACAGTTTATTTGGTTCCAATAACTTTATAAATAACATAACTAGTAAACTGTACAGCAATACGAGACTAAGGTGGCCAGAGCGTCAAGGGTCCATTGACAAAAGTCCCTTCTGCCCCATCTCCAGAGCTCCATATTCTACTGGAACACTCTCAACCACACAAAGAGCTCTTCTTGATCAGGAAATCAACTGAATAGGATCCCCAAGTCTTTATTCACTTGCTATCTTACTGAATTAGAAATGGTTTTAAACTCTGTGTTACATATTTATGTCATTTACTTATCAGCACATTAAACTGGAGTTCTGTTTAAAAGCTGAAAAAAAATGTTCAAAAGAAAAGATCCCTGGACTAGTACAGCTTTGGGTTGCAAAATATGAACAGAAATACAAATACTTTTGTAATTATTATTCAACTTATTAAACTTTTTCCTGAAGTTCTCTTAATAATATACATACTAAGGAAATAAAACTTTTCCCACACATTCTTTATGAAGACATTTATCAATCAAGGCAATAAAATTAAAGCAGGACAAATATTAGACCTACATGGAGGTTGTTTGCCGTCTGCTTTAAAAAGTGAAGTCACCACAGGGTTAAGTACAAAAGTCTGCATTGAATGACAACTGCTGGTGTAGTCTCTTGATCAGCTATGGAGACCAAGGTTAGAGTAAAAGCCCTAGGATAGATATTACTTCAGCAATTTTTCCAATCATACACATACAGTAAGTGTGGGCAAAAAAATTCTGGAGCATTAGGCTTAAACAAACATAGGGAACATTCCATTTTATGCTGTGCAGATGGAACGTTTGCCTGCTGCAGTCTTCCAAAGCAAACTTGTAAGTCAGTATCTGATTTGAGCTACACAGTGAATCTTGTCCTCAGAAGAATATCTGTTTGGCATCTCCTGGACTCTGCTCCATGGGACAATAGGGGCATTTTAATCTAAAGACAAAGAAAACGGATTAGTTTGTTGAACATTTTTTCAGGACTGTTTTAGTTTCCCAGTCTGTGTGCGTTAGAAAATTCCTGTGCCTTAGCCTCAAATCGTGTGAGTTACATTACTCACCTGACAGTCAACACCATCCTTTTCATTTATTTTTAAATCAATCTTGCATGCCTATGCTCAAAAGAAGATATGCACAGGTAACCCCATCCCCATGAAAAAGACAATTCCATTCAGCAGTTTCTGAACCTCAACTAAGTTTTTGACAAATGTCTGCTGAGCAATTGGTCAATATTTTGTGTACATTGCTTATCTTGTAAGACACTGATTTATTCAGTACTGGTGCTTTTCAGTTCAAGACACAGTTTCATTATGATTTTTATCAGCAAAGAGGCATTTATCCAGCTGGAAGTTCATGAACTGTATAGTAATTGCAGTTATTGTGTCAGAAATGCATACCTGCTTAACATTTTATTGGTTTTCTCTACAGGCCTCTAGTGGCTTCTCACTTTAATTAATTTGACTAACTTTATTATCAACACAAAGACAATACATAGAAATCTCACACCATGGAAATGCATTTTAAATAAATCAAATCTATAAGGAGTCCTCTGTCAAGTCTCTACAAAAACAGGCAACATATAATCTTCTAAAAATATTGCTCTTATTTACCGTTGCCAGATATTCAACTTGCTTCCGTTAATTATGAATATAATGGTTCAGTTACTTGTCTTATAATACCTGCTTAACAACGTATTGGTTTTCTCTACAGGCCTCTAGTGGCTTCTCACTTTAATTAATTTGACTAACTTTATTATCAACACAAAGACAATACATAGAAATCTCACACCATGGAAATGCATTTTAAATAAATCAAATCTATAAGGAGTCCTCTGTCAAGTCTCTACAAAAACAGGCAACATATAATCTTCTAAAAATATTGCTCTTATTTACCGTTGCCAGATATTCAACTTGCTTCCGTTAATTATGAATATAATGGTTCAGTTACTTGTCTTATACCATATCTCATCTCAAAAAATTGTTAAAATAAAATAAAACATATTAAATAAAAATAAAAATATTAAAATAAAATAAAAATATTAAAATAAAATAAAAAATACTAAATGAGTAGGATTTTTACTTACTTGCTACCATTAAACATTTTATTCAGAGCATCTCTTGATATAATATGACCACAAACCAACTTCATAGGTGGGTTATTATCTGTTGTTTGCTGACGAAGGATGGGGCAAGCAAATATTGAATGATACCAGCACTTTTTACCAAGGTCAACTTCAATCTATATAAAAATAAAAGATCAATGTCATGGCCAGTTCTAGATCAAAAATTCACATCGGTATCCGTAATTTTAAAAAACGGTCAGGGTTGCTGTGTCTGATGTCCATGGCAAAGAGCTCTTGCTGATGAATGCACCTACTGCAGCCGGACAAACAGGGAGCTCACCTTCCTGGGAATGGAAGGCAAGACTATAAGTATTCGTGAATCATGGGAACAGAAGCTGACTCTCCCTTACTGCCTCTTTTGGAGGCTAGTGCATGCCAAAGAGAGCATGAATGTACACACACTATCACATAGAGTTCACCTTAGGGCTTCAAGGAAAATGATATCAGGATGGCTGTTAGAGGAGAAGACACAGAAGCTACCCTACCAAAGATCAAGTAATTCCTTCCTGATTTGGCACCTGCCTGTCAGGGATCACAGAGTTACACCTATATAGGAATAAAATGTTGTGGGGGGTCTTTCTTAAATGGGCCACTGGAGTTGAGCTTTGCTCTGCTGCTTCAGACCCACTCCCCTGGATCTATCCTAATGGGTGGCCCTGCTTGAAGAAAACTAGGTCTGGAGTCACCCTACTGCATAATGAACATTCATAGCTGACTGTGCTGAAGTGACTTTTATTCTCAAAAGAGCCAAACACTGAAAATGCAGCTTAGACGTTTAGAAGAGAAAGTCAGTTCAAAATGGAATTGACACGAGGGGAGGGGGGCCCTCCTCATGTTATGCTTCTCACTCAGAAAAGAAGGGAGGTGGAGCAAAGAAAAGCAGTGAGGTGCAACAAGACAAAAATGAAGTTTGTTCCCAAGCAGGAGAAGCACTGGAACCCGACTCTTCAGATGAAGGCAGAGCGAAAGACTGAAGCGAGGAGGAGGTTTCTCCTCTGAAGGGAATCTGCAGAAGGCCTCCACATTTTGCTGCCTGCACTCCTGCCCGGGACTGAGAAGAAACAGCAATTTCACTACAGATGAAATTTTTAGCCAATTCCCACAGGATGGAAGTGGTTATATTGGCTGTCTGTTTGGATACACAAAGGTACTCACCGGTAATTCATCTTTCTGATTCCAAACACCAGTGCACTGTCTCTGTTCAATCACAGCTTTGATATTAATCAGGGCAGGCAGCGCTACACAGCCTGCTGAAAAGCTGGGGAAGAGAGAAACCTGTTAGGACCGGAGGTTCTCTGGCAGAGCGAGACTTCAGTTGCAATACACAGAAGACAGAGCAACAGGTCCTTGCATTCCTTCATGTACTTCTGAACCATCAGTGTTGATAAAATAACATGCAACTATGAAGCATGATGAGATTTCTCCTGTTAAAATGTAAATGAAAACTGGAACTAAGAGTAGTTCCATGCATAAATGCCTGGGTTCATTTCCCTCTGTCTATGGTGATCCTTATTGGAGAGTTGCATGCATGTGAGCTGTAACATTGTCCACTTTTATGAAGAGAATGGGGGAAAGAAATAAGCCCCAAACAGGACTGTCCTAAATACACAAGCGCAATTTAATCTTCGTTACTGATGGCATACTACCAACGGAACCAAGGCCGAAGCCGTATGGCATAATTTGGGATAGCGAAGCTACCATTCAGCACTACATGGTACCGTAGAGACTCTGACACCCACGTTCTTCACAGAGAGTGCAACACAGAAAGGAACAGCCATCACAGGGGCAGAAGACTCCGGACAACTTGCCTTTATGGCAACAGTATTCAGCTCTCATTGTGGATGACGATTTGGGCAATCCATGCAAGCACAGTGTCCGGTCCCCCACAGCTATAAGTCCAATACACGCTTATACAAAGTGGTATTTTATTAAAGCCATGATAGAGCAGGAACAAGGTCACTGTCCAGAATACCTGGGCCAGGGTGGGCAAGGGATAATGTAAGACATTCAAACAGGACAATAACCAATAATTTTGGTTCCCGCCGAGCGGGCAGACTCCTGGGTTCGTGCTCAAAAGCCTGAGAATCAACGTTTCCTAAAACATAAACAATTACAGCTTCACAAGGTTGCAGTTCGTTATACTTCAAGCTCCTCCACACACCTGTTAACCTTGCTGATAAGCGTTGCCTAGCGTTTACAGACAGGAATGCATGACACAAGACAATACACTGGGAAGGCACGGGGAGGACAGGGCATGCGCAGATGCCTGGCAGGTCAGGGGGGGGGGGAGGACTACTAGTACACAGTCTTCTATGGCCGCTAGCTGACACACAGCCACTTTATCTGCAGCCATTTTGCTAATTCGTGGAGCACACTAGTAAGCACTCTGAGGAGCCGAAAGAACAAATCTTCACTTGGTTCTTCTGTCCACTTAATCATTACGAGTGGATTAAAAATAACTGAATCCCAACTCCCTCACAACAAAGTCTAAGAAAGAAAGTCACCAAGCAGAGGCACCTCTCAAAAATGGCCCATTTGGATGGCTAGCATTTCTTTTTAAAATATATATGTTCTCCTCTATTGGAAAAGGGACTTTTATTATACACTCTTCCTCCAGAACACCAACATTCCAATACATTTATTCACTCTAACAATCGGTTCCATTAGCGCGCGCGCATACACACACACACACACACACACACAGGCAAAAAAAGAGTTAAAGGGGAATCAGCTGCTGCCTGGGGAGGCGGTAGGCTCCCCGTGACTGGCCGTCTCCAAGCAGCGGCTGGACTGACGCTGGTCAGGGATGCTCTCGGCGGGTCCTGCATTGGCCAGGGGGCGGGACTAGGTGGCCTGCGTGGCCCCCTCCCCGCCCTGCGTGATTCTGATTGTGAAGGGACATGGAAGCCTCTGGGAGGGATCCATGAGTCATCCAGGCACAAGACACAGAAGGGAGAGAAAAGGAAGACAGACAAGAGAGGCCTGATGCCAGAAGGAGGCAGAGGCTCTGGGTTACCAGCGTAAGCAGTGTCATGGGTTACCCTGAGAGGACCCGGGAGTGACCCTTCAGCTAGCCCTGGTGAGTGTTGCACAGAAGGAGGCCATGGTGAACCAACTCTGACCAACCAACCCCTCAAAAACCCCAGGATGACTTTAAAGCATTTGCTTTCTAGCCCACCCCCCCCCCCCGCGAGCAGGCTCAGGGCAGGCAACAGCAATAGCAATAAAAAAAAGGTAAAGCCATAAATACAGATTAACAACTGAAACCGTATCAGACGGCAGCCAAAACAATACAGCCCAAAAGAGCTTTGTATTGGGTGCAACAGTGCATATTAAGATAGTATAAAAACAAAACGAGTGGGCCAGGGAGAGAAAACACGGAGGGAGGCCAGGCTAGAGGGTCACGGCTGTCCGCTAGGCCATGGGAGCGAGGGGGTGTTCTGGAATGTTACGTTTCTATGGTTCTATTCTGCTGTGTCTTCTCGGTTTCTGTTATCGGCCTTGCTCACACCTTTGGCCTTGGTGCCTAGTATAGTATTTTGCCTGGGAAGAAAGGCCCATTAGTCTGGTGGGCTTTTTACCTGGACCCTGACTGGCCCTGTTTGCTACACGTGCTTTTTTAGTCAGTTCTAACACGAGATGGTTATGATAATCTGCATACTCTCAATAATCCAATAAACTTTATTTCTTTGAATGAAAGCTGTTTGGAACTGATTGCTACAGGAGTCTGACAACTGCTGCCTGGTGGAACAGCCCCGTTTTACAGGCCCTGCAGGATTGGTTTAAGCCCCGCAGGGCCCAGATCTTGCTTGGGAAAGCATTCCACCAGGCTAGTGCCAGAGCCGAAAAGGCTCTGGTTAAAGCTAGACAGATGTCTATCTTTGGGGCCGGGGACCCACTAGTTAGCTGAGTTAGTGTGAGCTAGCTCACAGTTTTTTAGCCTCCAGCCCACAGATTTTTGTCCTTGCTCAGGAAGGATGGCTCCAGAGCAAACTAATTTATGTAGTAGCCAAATCACCCTCTCACAACTTTACTGCCAGTAGCTCACAAAGTAGGATTTTTGCTCACCAGACTCCACAGCTTAGAGGGAACATTGCTAGTAGATTTCAATCTGTTGAATACAGAGAGCTCTCTGGGGGATGTACCAGGAGAGACGGTCCCTTAGATATGCTGGTCCCAGACCATGTAGGGCTTTAAAGGCCAAAACCAATACCTTGAACTTGAGTCAGTACTCCCCCTGGAGCCAGTGCAGCTGGTGGAGCACTGGTGTAATACAGGCTCTTAATGATGTCTCAGTGAGAACAGGAGCCACTACATTCTGAACCAGCTGGAGTTTCCAGGGCAGTCTCAAGGGTAGCCTTGTATAGAGCAAGTTACAGTAATCTAGCCTGGAGGAGACCACTGCATGGATCACTGTAGCTAAGTCTAGGGGAGAGAAGAAGGGAACCAGTTGCCTGAACTGGTATAGGTGAAAAAATGCTAGTGGGACAACATTTATGATTTGGGCCTCCACAGAAAGGGAGGCATCCAAAACCACACCCAGTCTCTTCATTGTTGGCGCTGGTGTCAGTAACACATTCTCAAGAGCTGGGAGATGGATGCCTAACCCTGCATTCCCCCGGCTCAGGTGCAGGACCTCTGTCTTCGATGGATTAAATTTCAGTCGGCTCTGTTTCTCTGTTTCAACCAACCAACCATTACTTCGCACTTGCCCACACTGAACCTCGTTTGCCACGATGATGCCACCCAGCCTCTACAGATCCCTCTGGAGCGCCTCACAGCTCTCCCTGGTTCTCATCACCCTGAACAACCTAGTGTCATCCACTTCACTGCTTACTCTCAATTCTAAATCATTAATGAACTAGTTAAAAAGCACCAGACCTAAAACTGAGCCTTGTGGTACCTCACTGCTTACCACCCTCCACTGAGAAAACTGCCCATTTATACTCACTCCCTGTTTCCTGTTAATTAACCAGTTTTTAATCCACAAGAGGACTTGTCCTCTTATCCCATGATTGCTGAGTTTCCTTAGGAGCCTCTGAGGACAAACTTTATCAAAAGCTTTCTGGAAGTCTAGGTAAACAACATCTACTGGGTCACCCTTGTTCCCATGTTTTTTCATCCTCTCAAAGCACTCTAAAAGGTTAGTGAGACAAGATCTTCCCTTACAGAATCCATGCTGATTCTTCCTCAATAGCTTTTGTTCATCGATGTGCCTACTAATTCTATCTTCTATCTGAACTTCCAGTATTGTAGGTTTAAATAGTCTCCAAGCTTCCCAAATGGATTTGACCTTCCTTTCAGTTTCTTCTTCATATGTCCCCTCACTTGAGAGAAGTTACCCCTTCTACAGTTGAACGTGGTTATGTTGGTCTTTTTGGGCAACTCCCTATTTACATAAATGCTAAACTTAATGGCATTATGGTCCTTATTCCCAACTGGTGTCATCACATTTATATCTCTCACCAGGTCTTATTACTTATTACATAGAAGATGGAGCGTATCTATTCTCTCTTGCTCCGAATTGCAAGACTAGATCTAATGGGTGGAAATTTCAAGGGAGTCATTACCAGCTAAATATCAGGAGAAACTTCCTAACTGTAAGAGTGGTTGAGCAGTGGAACAGACTGCCTCGGGAGGTGGTGGAGGCTCCTTCGCTGGATGACCATCTTCCGGGTCTGTTGTAGGGCTCTCTTTCAGCTATGCTCCTGCAGAGTGCAGGGGGTTGGACTAGATGACCTGCAAGGTCCCTTCCCACTCTAACATTCTATGATTCTAGGACCAAGTCTCCCCCCAGTAGGTTCTGTGATCATCTGCTCCATGGCACAGTCATTGAGAGTATCTAGAAACCTAACCTCTTTCTCGTGGCTTGAACACATATTGACCCAATCAATGTGTAGGTAGTTAAAATAACCTATTATGATGGATTTCTAATAAATGAAATCAGTCCCAACTCCTGCATTGTTCCCCTGCACTGCTGTATTTTCTAAGGAAATAAATTATTAATTTTATTTCAATTGGTGTAATTCATATTCATGATAAGATTACTTCTAAATCTCCACTGGGGTTCTTAGCAGAGCTATTTTAAAGGATCCTGGAAATGTCATAATTTTAGATCATGTGCCAGTCACGTTATGATGTAAGTAGAACTTAAATCACTGAAAGGGAAAACACTGCCAACTGTTTACTTGTGGGTAAGAGACTCATAAGAAAGGACATGGAAGATTCTGTCATGGAAAATGCTGGCTCAGTGGATTCTTTGGTCAATTTTTAAGAGCTCATTCAGAAGTGAATAAAAAAGTAAAGGTTTCCCTTGATTGAAAGCTAGTCGAAAATACAGGCTTATTAATAATGTTGTCTTTACAAATAAAATCCAAAGGGCAACAACAGATGAGCTGAAATAATTCAATAAAGAAACAATTCAATAAATCCAAAGAAATAAGAGTTACAGATTTTTGACATCAAGTCAGAGTTGACTTATGACACCCCTGCAGGGTTTTCAAGACAAGAGGTGTTCAGAGGTGGTTTGCCACAACTTCTCTGCATCACAACCCTGGCATTCCTTGGTGGTCTCCCATCCAAATACTAACCAGTGCTGACCCTGCTTAGCGTCTGAGATCTGATGAGATCAGGCCAGCCTGGACATTATTCAAGAAATGGAAGGAAAACAAAGCAATCATAGCTATTAGGAGGGAAAAGATGTCTGCAGTTAAAAGAAAGTAAAAGAAGCTTTGCTGTGCTGCTTAGGGATGGGCATAAACTGGCTGATGAACTAAAGTTTATCATGGATTTTGGCCAGTTTGTGGTTCACGAAGCAATGTCCATGAACTGAAGAACCACCATGAACTTCCATGAATTTTTATGTAGTTCGTGGTGGTTCATGAAGAGCAGAAAGCAGCCATTTCACTTCTGTTTTCTCCTCCCCATGGCTTTTCACAGGGAACAGAAAGCAATGGTTTAAATGGCCCCCTGCTTTCTGCTTCCCACCGCTTTTCACAAGGAGCAGAAAACAGCAGTTTAAATGGCTCACGAACCAAAAACGAACTGGTTCAGTTCACAGGTCAGCCATGAACCGAACTGCAAAAATGCAGTTCATGCCCATCCCTACTGCTGCTAGGTTTGGCCCTAACTGCTGCAGGAATAGGGAGAAAGTCACTCTTGTTTCCATCCTTGCAAACAAACAACACCACAATCAACTGAAAAAGAGCAAGCTGACAGCTACACAGTGGAATCTTGGCTTCCTGGGATATTTCCTCATGGCCAAAAGAATAGGACAATATATGATTGGTCAATTGATCAATAAGCTATGCCTATAGGGACTTCTGGAACAGTATCGCCATGTCGCCCTTAGGACAAAGGAGGAGGAGCCATGGGACTGAAGGTATTTCCCACTGAAGGTCAAGTTTTGACATCCAACATTGTTCTTTGTGTGAAATAAAAGATTGAAGACGAATTGTTACAGCAATCTTCTTCAGGTACAACGTCCATTTCTCAGTTCTCTCTACTGAAAGGAATTTAGGTAAATCTGCATTCCTAAGGTATCGGGGCCTAGGTGAGGTTTACAGGGCAGTCCTATTTTAACGTTAATATTTTATATTTGTTTTTATGTTGTTTTTACCTTATTGGTTTTAATGTTGTAATTTAGGTAAATCTGCATTCCTAAGGTACCGGGGCCTAGGTGAGGTTTACAGGGCAGTCCTATTTTAACGCTAATATTTTATATTTGTTTTTATGTTGTTTTTACCTTATTGGTTTTAATGTTGTAAGTCACCACAAGACCCTTTGCCACAAGACCCCCAATGAATAAATAAATAAATAAATAAGCAGAGTTACATCCTTCTAAATCAGTGGGTGGAGCTCCGCACAGGGTACACTGTTAGGTAGCCAACATTAAAATAATCAAATAGGAAAGCCATCGTACCTGACGCTTAGAGGCGATTCAACAGAGAGTCCCAGCAGGGCACAGGCATCCCTCGTGAAGATGTCACAGATGTCTGCCCACTGGTTTGCATCCAGCAAATGGACATACGGTGAATTTTCAATTCCCTGCCTCAGGTAGACTAGACTTCCCATCAAAATCTGAATATCTGTGAAAGAACAAATCTGAAGATCAGGTATGTCACAATATATATGCAAAAATAAATTCAAGCGTTCAAAGGTTTATTTTAGAAACAAGAACAATCTAAATACACAGAGGCAAACCAGCTTGCACTTATTATTCATACGATAGCAGGTCTAGAAAAGATTAATGAGGCACAATTCTGGTGGAATACAACACATGGATTTAGAGCGCAGGTTAGACTTTTGAGAACCACTCCCCAGAAGCTCTTTCATGGATTCTCAAAACCTGAACGGAGGAGTTTCCAGCTCATACCCTTTAGAGACCGTAGAAGGGTACCACAAATCAGCAGAAAATGTCTGCCTTATTGTCATTCAGTGCAACATGAAGCACAGCACACAAAAAAGCTGACATGGCATAGTGGTTAAGCGTGTCAGACTAGGAGATCTGGGTTAAACTCCCTGGTCACCGGTGAAGCTCAGTGGGCCACCTTTGTTGCTGAGAGAATAATAAGGGAATGAAGCAGCAGGTCTCTGCCATGAGAAACTAGGAGGAAAGGGACAGTCAACATTTTCTTAGTATACAGGAGCACAACTGTTGGTTTCAGAACCTGTCAAACAACCAAAGTTTGTGTTTTAATGTTATTTTACTTTTGTAACCGTTTGCATCTGTAGCAGTCCCTCAGGGGCTAACTTCAATAGATAACATCTCTTAAGAAGAAGGCTGTTAAACAACAGTTTCTTAAAACACTTTCCTCCATGTCCCTTGCCTTTGACATTATGCTGAAACAATTCATAGCATAAGAAATGATATCTAATGTGACACAAATCACAGGAGGCTCAGAACAGAGGAACGGAGACAGACTGTCCTCAGGACCAATCTTCAGCATCATAACCAGACCAGTCAGAATAGACTACCCACAGTGGCAAAGTTTCTTGATTTACAGAAAGGCTGAGCCATCTTTGAGATCAGGGACCAACAGGTTTAATACATGAGGAACAAAGTTTGAGTCCAGTGACACCTTCAACACTGACACAGTTTTATATCCTGGGTAGAAGCTTCCATGTGCACACACTCTTCTTCAGAGACACTGAAACGGACGTCACGTCACCAGCCTTTACACGGAGGCAAGGTGAAGAGGATGTAGCCAGGAAGGGACAATTTAAAAGAGGGCCATAGACAGTCCCAGGAATGATCCAGATAGTATAGTTAAAGAGGCAGAAAAAGGTGGAGCCATTGTCCTCATGGACAGATCAGACTACATCCAGAATGCCCAAATACTGCTTTTTGCAAACAACTCAGATCCCACACAGGAATACAAAAAACAAAACAAAACAAGATTACAAAGGTTAGGGTTAGGAACAAATCCTTTCAGACATCCCCCACAGGAGCCTTGACCAGGTACCTTTTATCTTGTACCCAAAATACACAGACCCGGCAAACCAGGACGCCCCATTGTTTCAGGCACTATCGGCATTATCACCATGGGGGTATCTGGATTCACACTCTGTTTAAAACCCCATGCCATCAACATTCATATCAACGCATGTGACACCACAGTCTTTGAACAGCCTTCCAGAGAATACTATTTTAGCCACCATGGATGTGGAATTCCTGTACACCAACATTCCACACACAGATGGATTACAAGCCATAAGAAACATGATTTCTGACAATACCACAGCTGACTTTGCCACAAAACTCTCCCATCACCACTTCAAACCCTTCAGATAAATGGTGCACCCAACATGGCCCCACAGTATCCTAATACCTTCATGGCTGACTCAGAGCAATGCTTCCTGAACGCCCACCCACTCCTACCTCTCTTATACCTGTGATACATCGACGACATCTCTATTGTCCGGACGCATGGTAAAGAAGCTGTGGGCAAATTCCACCAGGCATTCAATGACTTTCACCGCACCTTCAACCTGACCATGAACCAATCTATGCAAGAAGTACATTTTCTGGACACTACTGTACAAATGCATAAACACCATCTTATACCAGAAACCTACTGACCAACAAATATTTCTACATGCCTCCAGCTACCATCCTAAACATACCAAATAATCCATTGTATACAGCCAGGTTCTATGTTAAGAGCCGCATCTGTTCCAATCCTACAGACAGAGATTCTCACCTGAGGGATCTACAACAAATCTTTTTGGAACTAAAATATCCAACTGATGAAGTCAAGAAACAGATTAACAAAGAGAAAACCTGTTGCAAGACAAGCCCAAAAGAGACAATACCAGAACACCACTAGTGGTTACATACAACTCTCAACTCACAATAGCTCAATGCACCATCAGTGACTTACTACCTCTACTGGATAACGACAGTTCTCTTTCACAAGTAGTGGGGGGGGGGGGCAAACCTTTTCTCACTCACAGACAGCCTCCCAGTCTTAATCCACTCCTCACCCACAAAAATTCAATATCTAATTTGAACATGGACACTGGTACCAGAGCTTGCAATAAATGCAGATGGCAGCTTCGTGGCCACACCCAGACAACATAATCACTGGACCGAACATCAACTGCAGTCCTGGGGTAGCCAAATTACAGCTTGGGAGCCGCATGTGGCTCTTTCATACACAGGGTGGCTGGGGAAACAAAGGGGAGGCATCGGCCTCCCTGATTGGTCTTCCCTTCCCCAGCCAGTATTGCCCTCCCTGAGTAGGCTTGAGGTGGGGGGGGGGAGCAGAGAAGGAAAGCAACTTTAAACACATTCTCAAAGCGTTCTCTCTCTCTCTCTCTCTCTCTCTCTCTCTCTCTCTCTCTCTCTCTCATTAGCAAACAAGTAAAATGTGTGTGTAACATTTGTTCATGTTTGTGGCTCTCAAACATCTGACATTTAATCTATGTGGCTCTTATGTTAAGCAAGTTTGGGTTAGGGTCTACATCACCTCAGGCTCATTCAATAGGTCATATTCTAACACTGTCTACACTATTAAATGCCAACAATGCACTTCAGTTCTCTACCCAGGGCAAACAGGTCAAACCCTGTGCCAGAGGATAAAAGAAACACTAGACTGAGAAACCTGTAGGGGAACACTTCAGCCTCCCAGGACATTCGATGGGGGACCTCAAAGTAGCTGTTTTATTGCAAAGGGACTTCAGAAACAGACCAGAATGGGAGATTGCCGAGTTACAAGTTATTACAAAACTCAGGACAGTGGAACCCCCAGGGCTTAACAGAGACAGCGGTTTCTCATCTCACTACACATGCTAAGGTCATTCAGTTCTCGTATCTGTTTGTAAACTCCTTTATTATGATGTATGCTAATTTGCTGCTATTCACATGTCTTACCAATCGCCTTCATCCAATCTTAGCTATATTTACTGGTTAATTACTTGTGCATCTTGACTTAACTGGCCTTTCCTAGTAACAGCCTCCTCACCCACTGCTAACTAATTGTGATGGTGGGTGACTTCTGTTTCAGTGTATCTGAAGAAGCGTGCATGGACAGGAAAGCTTATGCCCAGGAGAAAACTTTGTTCGTGCCTGACTGGACTCAAACTTTGTTCTGCTGCTTCAGACCAACATGGCCACCCACCTGAATCTAGACTCAATGCATACTGAACTTCCTAACTGAAACCAGTGGAACTTAGACGGCTTAACTTTGTCTGAGTAGTTGATGGCTTTTCATAGTCTTCAGTCTCAACAACAGGAAGGAGTCAGATGCCTCTATTAAGAACCATCAGAGAACCATCAACCCTTGGGAGGAGGAGAACTAGGGAGCCACAAGTCCTGTGAGCTCAAGGGAAGGCTCAGCAGCACTCGCATCCCTTGAACAGCCCCTCCTTGTCCCCAGACTGGAGGTGCAAATCAGTTTATGAGATGAGATGGGGGAGGCGTCTGGAAGTATTCTGCTGGGTTGGCACAATCCCCTGTGCTTGCTTAAAAGCTTCACGGAGCCTCCTAACCCTCGGAAGGCCAAATCTACATCTTTCATGAATATAAACACAGAGCCTTTACCAACAGAGACAGCATTGACAGGGCATGGACAAGAACGGAGGACAGTACAGGAGTCTTGTTATTTTTTGCCTCTTGCTTTAAATGCTACAGCAAAGATCAATTATGAACTAAAACCCAGAAAAGCAGGAACATAGTAGATTCAGTATAAACCCCCATTTTAAACAGGTTGCTTACCTGTCACTGTTGCTTGAGTGCTCACCTGTGCATTTGCAGTGAAGCGCCTTGCACCTGCACATAACAGTGATTCACAAATCTCTAGAGCAAGCTTTCAGGCACAAAATCTCCTCCCCTCAGAGACGCAGCCTAAAGGGGCAGAGTCACACCTTCCTGCTCAGCCCCTCCAACAGTGTGCAGGAAGTGAGAGGGGAGGTGGGTGGGTCTCCTCCCCAACGGGTAACCAAAGTGGCTTGTAAAATTACTCTCCCCGTCTCCATGATATGTGGTAGGTCAGGATGAGAGAGGCTACCCAGGACTTTTCAGCAACAGAGTGGTGATCTGAACCTGGCTCTCCAAGATCCTAGTCCAGGGGTGGCCAAACTGCAGCTCTCAAGCTGCACGTGGCTCTTGAAGCCCTCCCCCTGCTGCTCACGAGCCTCCCCACTCAGGACAGTGGGGGTGGGTGGGTGGCCGGGAGCGCCTGGGCTGCAGGTGGCCTGTGTGCTCCGGAGCGGGCTGCTGGGGACTGTTTGGGGTGGGGTGGGCAGCCAAGAACACCTGGGCCGCAGGCAGCCTGGGTGCTCAGGAGCAGGTGCCACGACCTCCTCAAAAACCCATCTGATCAAAGGGGTGGAAGAAAAGACTGCAAGTATGCTCAGTTTTGATTAAGCTGCTTTGCTGTCCATAAGTAACTGTTCCTTAACACTTGTTGAGAGCTGTTTAAAAGTGCACGAAACTCCCCCACCTGTAAGTAGGCTTAGGGATAGGAGACATCAGGAGCTGGCTAGCCGAAGAAAAGAAGCACTGTAATGATTCTTTGTTTTATATGTGTGTGTGTCTCTTTAAAAGTTTGGTTGCCTGGCTGTGTGATAGAATAGAGTGGTTGAA